ACTCATTTATTTAGTAACTGTGATTGTCGTTTTTTTTAATATTTATAGTGATCACTATGGTCTAATGTTTAGAATGTCAAAATATGTTCTTTATTTTAATTTTGAAAGTTTTACTCAGACGATCAATGAAATAAAACAGTGTAGTGACGTGCTAGTAACCTGCTAAATAACGAGATATCTCCGACGTCAAATTCTATTTTGTCCAGCGACAGTGTACAAACGTGCGTCGCTGACGATCACGGTGACCAGCTACACCAGAACGAACATATTTCGCATCTAACTCAACCCCATGCAACAAAAATTGATACCGTTAAAGTCCTAATATAAACCGCATACGTAATAGTAACCGCACCCCCAATTCCGGCTTCGGGGTTAAAGAGTTCTTAACAAAAATTGAAAACTTGAAAAGTACCTATTACTAACCGCACCCCCAATTCAACAAGGCCGTGACTGACTTCATTGTTTCTAATCCTATTCATTTGTTTCGACAACATGCCTAAAAATATTCACACCTATTTATTGTTCAGCGGTGATAAGATGTCAGACAGGCAATGAAACTGCTTTTGTTCTGGCGGCGACCTCTGTCAATACTCTTTCTGAATACGTGTTTCGTAAGTTTTAGACAATGAGCTTTTATCACCGTAAAAGTGTTAAACTGAGCATTGAAGAATAATTTATCTTTCGAAAACAAATAATTTCTTGATTTAAAAAAAAAAATCATGCAGTTTTCCCATCGGATCAAAGGCAAACAATCGCACTACATTATCGGTAAATCTCTTCCGTGTTGCATTCACCATGAGGTCGCTGAACTGTCATTAACATATTTAAATGAGCTATATAATTTAGACACGTGGGCACCATCCAGCATTTTGATTGGTTAATTAGCGACTTGACCTATCCGGTCAATGATACGTCACGTGAGCATTCAAAAACATGGCAGATATCGTCACGATATCGGCTGTTTACATGTGACTGAAATCATTCGCTTACGGGGAAACTAAT